CGGAAGATGATATGCAAATTCCCGGGGAATTTGCACATCCTCTTTCAAAAATACAGCATAGTCTAGACATACCCTAAAGGATTAACAGTCTGAAAGAAATTAGAAGTATATTTATTTTCAAGTTATTGTATTCTGTGCTTTAGACCCATAACAATTCATATATAAAATTTATTATTTTTTTTCATAGAATCATAGAACTGGAAGGGACATCAAGAGGTCATTGAGTCCAGTCCCCTGCCCTCATGGCAGGACCCAGTACTGTCTAGAGTAGACTATCCCTGATAGATGTCTATCTAACCTGCTCTTAAAAATCTCCAGAGATGGGGATTCCACAACCTCCCTAGGCAATTTATTCCAGAGTTAGGAAGTTTGTCCTAATGTCCAACCTAATGTTTGGTAGACAGTGTTAAACCAGGCTGTATACCAAAAGCTTTGACAAAAACTATAAAAAGGAAGAGAATACAATGATGTAGTCTATATTAGAATTACAAAGTCTAAGCCTGACATTCAAGAATCTGAGACCTTAATTCAACCAACAGTCTTGTGTACAAACAAGAGAAAAAAAATAATAAAAATGCAGAACATACCATGTTCAATGATTTCAACCAAACTTCTGAGATGAGGTAAGATGGCACAGCCCATAAGAATAGCAATTTGCTGCACAATCTTGATGCCAGTGTGCCTAGCTTGCCAGGATTTTTTGCTCTTGCATACAGCTTTCAAGAAGGGCAACAGAGAAGGAATGCCTAAAGCAGAGGCAACAACAGCAAAGGCTCGAGCTGTTGTATTTCTGACATATTCATCCATGTTATCAATATCAGGACGCATAGTGGAAATCATTGTAGCCAAACCTGCAGCCTGAAAAACAGAAAACATACTTGTGTACAGAAATGATGAACTTTTAACTTTTTTGCTGGGTTTGTAAGTTTCGTGTTACATAATCATTACGTATTCAATTCTGCAAAAAGCACAGTACTAGTTACTGTATCATTTTAGCTATAACACTACAGGTGACCCTCCCGCACTTACAACTTAATTCGTTCCTGGAGAACCATCGTAAGTCAGGCCGTCGTAACTCGAACCCTTATTGCCATAGGGGCAATGTTATGAACAGGGTTCCGTTCCTGGCCCGCTTTGCCTCCTGGAAGTTGTAGTCTCCTGGAGCCAAGGGGCTCTGCTGGGCAGTAGGTGGCCCTGCAGTATGGCATAACAGCGCCCTGAGCTAGTTGGGAGTTGCACCAGCTGGTAGGGGGCCCTGCAGAGCGATGCAAATGGCACCTTGGCCCAGCAGTTGGCAGCCCTGCAGTGTGGCACGGCACAAACGGCACCGTGAGCCAGCCAGCCGGGGACTGGGTCGGGCGGTAGGTGGCCCCGCGGCTCTCAGAGCAGGGTGACTGTAAATGTATGGGGTCGTAAGTCGGGCGGTCGAAGTCAGGGGTTGCCTGTATCTCAATCAATACAAAAAGGAAGGATGATGCAGTATTATTACCTTAGCCAAGTTTGATATAATTTCTCTGCCTTCCACTCTCGCATAGTAGTCTTCATCAATCAGCAATGGTTCAATTACCACAAGAATCTGAGAAAGGGTAACAAATAAACAAATTAACTCTTCAAATTACATCAATGAATCTCTCTCAAGTATTACTGTCAACTTCACTAGTTCTTGGCCCTATGCAAAGTCTGGTTAACATGGGGATACCACGGCTCCCACACTCAAATTCAAAATATCACCATGACCCAGTAATCCTTTATCCCTCAGTCAACACTAATTCATATGCAGATTTTCTAGACTACCTTTCGCCTCTAAGACAGGATGCCAACTAAGGACGTGACCATGTAGCGGAGAGCACAGTTAACTGATGAGTCTGGGCTCATCCATTAACCCTCTTGGTTACACGCAGTCCCCCCATCCCTGAATTTGTGGGGGAAGAAGAGGAGAGGATATGGAAGACTACGTGCATGGGGATCCAGTTGGCTCCCCTCATGTGCAGGCACCTGCAGAGCTGACTTCCCCTTCATCCCACAGAGACAGTTAGGGGAGGGGAAGGGAGAATGGCGCAAGAGCCAGTGCTCGTGGGGATCTGGTTTTAAAACTGCATACGGAGGCACAGTGTGGGGGAAGGAGGGAGTTCGTGCTCGCTGGGAGCCAGTCCCAGGTCTCCCCCCCCCCCCTTGCACCTCTGATGTGGGGGGAGCCAGTGCTCCCCCCCAAGAATGTGTAAACATGTATCCATTGAAAATTTTAACAGATACACTTTTACAAATAAACACGTCAACATGAGTGATATTGCATGGATCAACTATCAAATTCTTTTACTTCTAGCACATGCATACGCAATTGACAGTCTTGCTTTTAAGTTTTGTGTTACAATTTACAAAAGCTATTTTGCAAATGAAATCTGCTAAATAGGTACATAAAGCATTTTAATATTACATATCGTATTTATGAAGAGAACAGTATTTCTCAGGGTACATTTACACTGCACAATTATTTCGAGATACTAGAGGTATCCCAAAATAGTCACCCCGTGTCTTAACAAGCCACACGTTATTTTGAAATGTTTTTCAAAATGACAGGTATGCTACTCCGGCATCCCGGTAACCCTCGTTCTACAAGGGCTAAGGGATTTCTCGAAATAGCGCGTTATTTCAAAATTTGGCACTGTGTAGACGTGCCAAATTTCAAAATAGCCTATTTCAAAATTCAATCAAAATAAGATACGCAATTTGTGTAGCGCAAATTGCGTATCTTACTTCGCATTTAGGGTGCTGTGTAGATGCACCCTAACTGAGCATACCTACGAATAATTTAATTTTTTTAAATTGAAGATTCAAATGTACAAATGCATAAGCATATATAAATCGGAGCCACAGAAGATTAATTTATAGAGCACTCAGCAAAGAGTGCAGACCACATTCATAAATAGTAAGTATTTAAGTAAATTGTAATGAAACAGACCTTGTGTACGTATGGTCGGACCAAGTCATCCAGTTTGTATAAGATTCTATCAATAACTTTGACAAGCAAGTGACGTTCTTGATCTTCAAGTGTTGGTGACATCAGCAGAGGTAGAATCTGATTAAACAGCGGACCTGCTCCAAATTCACGAGCTTTATCGGTAATCTGACGCAAAGCAGCCTAAAAAAAAAAATCCCTCTGAATTAGACCAAGCTGAATGATACCAAAACACACACCGCTATGTAATGAGCAAAATCAAGTCATAATCAGGGGTAACTCTGCTGACTTAAAATGATTTGTGTGTGCTCTTGCCAGAGATGCATTTAGAACAATGACCTCAAGATACAATTAAACAGAGGTTTTCAGCGGGGGCGGGTCCATGGCACCCCAGCATGGGGCAGAAGCCCTGATACCTGGCACCCCATCACAGGGCTGAGGCCAGGAGGCATGGAATTGAATCCTGGAGCTCTGATGCTCTTCGTGGGACAGAAGCCCTGAGCCCACAGCAGTGTCAGAGACGTGGAGGGTGTCCATGACCATCCCTCGCCCCTACCAAACTACAGCACAAGTCCATGGCAGTCCGGGAGGCAGTTCCACACCACCCTTCCCCCAAGTGTCCCCTCACTGCCCCCTGGACAGATTGGAGGCGGGAAGCTGGAGCCGGTTAGTACTAGGCAGCTGCTGCTCTAGCTGGTGCCATGGAACAAGCAATGGCAATATTACCTCATCTCCTGCTGGTGCCCCAAGTTGAAACAACTCCTTAGCTCCCAGCTCCTTTTGCTAAGAGCAGCCCACGTGGTGAGACCTGGCAGACCCCCTCGGGGAACAGGAACCATAGGGGAGTCCTACGAGGGACTGCAGGGGAATCCTACCAGCACACAGCCCTCAGTACCACTCTCCCTGCACACGGAGCTGTTTTCAGACTGCACTCTGAGCTACCCCAATGCCTGCACACTGACCTATTTTCAGACTCTGAGCTAAGCCTCTCACCTTTGATTTACAAGTTTTGGTTGCTCCCCCATCTCCCAAGAGGCTGGGGTGGCCTGTTGAGGTGAGTCAGTGGTGAAGGTGGCACTCACTCCCAAGACCCTGTCATTCAGAGCTGGTTCAAACCCTGCTGGCCACTGCCCACCCCACCCCACCAAAAATTAGAAATCAAACTGCGCCTATATCCAAGACCCTTTGGCCCAACGTCCTCCACTGAGCCCTGGTATTTTTAATAGTATGCTGGGGTGGGGGGGGAGAATCAGAAAGAAAAAGCTTGAGAACTCCTGCAATAAAGCAAAACATCCTTCATATAAACAAGTCACCAAATGCTTTAAAATGTAATTATCATAGAACAGAATACTTCTATAATACTTCCATAAAGTAGTAATACAGTTGTGACCAATACTTAATTAAGAAAGTACCAGAGGGGCAGGAAAAAATTAAGAGGCATAAATAAGGGGGAAACAATACAGAGAGAAAGCAAGAGCTAGACGAGAAGAAGGAAAAAATAATCGACAGAAATAAAAACCTTTCAGAAGCTGCTTGGAGCAAACTCATAAGAGTTGTGAGGGAAAGGAGTAGAAACTGAAACTAGATCCTAAAATAAATGGGGGAGGGGAATTATAGTATTTTAAAATGACACTGGTAGATCCATATCAGAATGTCTTACTTTTCTCATTGGTGGTGTACCATTCTTTATTTTCAAAAGCAATTTCATTATTTTTCTTTCTTTCTGTTCTTCTGGACTAAGTGTTGATTCATCAACATCAACCTATAAATAATTACAAATATTTTAATTAATGCACATTTTTTCTATCCTTTCATGCCCCGTATTAGGAAACATTAAATTAGTATCAATAAAATATTTTTTACCAGTAGTTTATCAAAGTACTGAATATCGTCTGGTTTTAGGAATGGAAGATTTCCAGATGGTTGGTCATTAACGCTCTTCATGGTCCTATCTTCTGTTTGCATATGGAATCCAGTCATACCACCCAACGGTGTGGGAGTCGCTGTAAGTTTACGAGCGGGAGTACGAATAGGCACATAACCAGCAGGAGGCGGAAGAACCTGAAGTGAAATTAAGATAAAATCAATGCACTGAAATAAGGAAGATACAAATGACTGAATGCTAAAATCTAAGAAGTATTTTCACAGACTGCAAGCCAGCAAGTTAAAAACGTTATCTGATAGTCACAACAGCCTCAGAACAGGGAAGATGTCACAAAAATACAGAGAATAACTGGTACAAATATCTATTATGTCAAATGTTTATTTTATTGATTTGTAACAGTCTTTCAGCATTAGTCTTAAGGATGTAATTTACTAGTTGAGGGAATTTCCATCCACTACTCAACTAGTCAATAGGCACTTCCGTGGAACTCTGTGTGCAGCCTGGGCCAGCACGAAGTCCCGCTGACTCCGGGCTGCTCACGGTGTGCCAGCTTCGAAATATACAAGAGTCCTCAGCGAGGGTTCTTCAAAGCAGAAGTGCCTTCATGGAGGCTGGGGCCAGTGAGGGACTCAGAGTCCCTCGCTGACCCGGGGTCCATGCGGCGCTGCTGCACGCATTTCCCCGGAACCCAGGGTCAACTGAGGTGTCCCCAGCTGACCCTGGACTCCACGTGGTGCTGCTGCTTTGAAATGCTATGGCAGCATTTCAAAGGGGCAGCACCACACAGCTGAGCCAGGGATCAGCTGTGCGGCGCTGCCCCTTTGAAAGCCGTCACAGAGTTTCAAAGCAGCAGTGCCACATGGTACAGGCTCCGTGCGGCACTGCCACTTTGAAATACGCCCTTCCCCCTCCCCTTTGTTGCCTCTGATAAGAGGCAGCAGGGGGGGGGGGGAAATCGACTAGTCAACCCGACTAGTCCTTAACATCCTTAATTAGTCTATCTTTGCATTCATTGTAAATTAACTATGAAACTGTGTATATGCTATTAGACTTGAAAGAACGGGAATGATGTCAAGAGGAGTCCTAACAAACATAAGTACCATTAAAGTTCTCATGAACAGAGATGGAATATTAGCCTTTAAATGTCTCTTTATGAAATGTTTGAATGTAGCATGTTAATATTGCCTTATTGACAGTTTTCAATCTCTGTCTGATCTGTTTTATCACACCATTGGCTCAAGTTCTGCAGCCATCCCACATGCAGAACTCCTGAAATCAGCATGAGCTCCCTAAGGTGAAGCAGAAGAAAAACTGCCCTCCTTTCAATTTACCTCTTTTTAGTTTTTCCTTCTAATGGATGTGTATAAAATACCAGTAACCAAACTAACAAATGTTAGCATGAATTCATCTGCATTTAGTTTCAAACATTCAAATAATAGCATTTTTTTAAGTGCTAAAATCCGTACTCTGAGTGGAAAATATATCACCACTAGGTTGCAGTATATACAGTGACAGATTGCTTAGATTTATTCAGATCAACTACCTTATATCCCTCTGGGAACATGGCATCCAATTCTTCATCAGATAGTGGCCGGTTTCTCTCATCTATTTCTCTTTCCCAGCGCCATGCCTGCAGTTGTTCAGGTGTCATGCTCATTATGTGACCTATATTTAGGTAAAAGAAAAGAACTTTAATTTTCAAGGATACCTTACATTTTTAAGAAACCTCTGGACCTATCACACGTGCAGCACTTGAGTTCAGAACTGGCCTCAGAATTCCAAATGCTTGAATTAAGAACTTTCAGGAATCTCTTTAGTAATTCTTGCCAACCAAGGCAACAAACATCCACAGAAGACTGAGTTTACATTGTTCTGTGATATCTAAGTGCACAGCTACACTGCGGTGCTATTTGGGGATACTGGAAGTATCCTGAAATAACTATTCTGCATCTATTGAAGTATCCTGAAGTATTCTGAAATAATGGGTGACTTATTCCAACGTCCTGGTAACTCTCGTTCCACAAGGGCTAAGGGGCATTTCAGAATAGTGAGTTATTTAGAAATTTGGCGCTGTATAGATAGCACCAAATTACAAAATAAGGTATTTTGAAACACACTCAAAATAAGCTATGCAATTTGCAAATTGCATAGCTTATTTTGAGCTAAGGGTGCTGTGTAGGCGCACCCTAACAGAATTAAATTGCTACAGATATTCAGAAACAAACTTGGGCTCCCACAGTCAAAGAACAGAACAGAGATGCCTACATACATCTATATATCTTTACATTTTAATACTAAGTGACAGAAAACAGAAGACTTAGTTAATGGATTAATCTTACCTGGTGTAGGGGTTGCCATGTTCATGGCTGGTGTACCAATTGGTGTTTTGCCAGGTGTCAAAACGGGAGTGCTACCACCCATTTGGCTAGCAGGTGTTTCATCCCAACGTGACTTCCTTTTACTTGCTCCAGGAGTTGGGGTTTCACCAACTGAATCACCACCTCGATCTGTACGAGGAGTCTCAGCCCACCCACTGCCATGTCCCGGTGTATCTATAAAAATAAAAGCCCAATTTTTTCAGATTATAATGATTGCAAATCAGATCTCACAAGCAAAATCCTCAAGTTCCTGAAAGTGAAAACACAAGCAAAAAACATTCTAAAAGGGAAGTCTAACCTCTTTAATATTGAAGTCTACTACTTGTATACTAATGAACATATACAAAAATTTAATCAGAGGAAAAGTGTGTCTTTTTTATATTCTTTGTTTTCATCTGAGCAATTGTATCATATTCCAACATATTTGAAAGAACTTGAAAATATTTTATATCTAAAACCCTCCAACACTTGCTTTGTTAAAACATTTTAAACAACTATTTAACGTATGACAAAGATTTTTTTTTTTAATAGGCTAACAGGTAATAAAATTTATCAAAGCAGACCGAGGTATAAATGCTTAAATCTTATGAAACGTGCCTTATTGACAGTAACATTTCTATTTATTCACAAAAGACAATACAATGTGCGCTTTTCTGTCCCATCAGCATGTTTTAAAACCCTGATCTTCAAAGGCCAATGCAGGAGACAGTGCAGTGTCACCACCTTTAAGTCTAGTGCAAACTTAAAAGAGCTGCGGCACTCATAGGTATGAAAAATGCATATCACTGTAGCCATGCTGACCTGACCCCCATGGTCAATGCAGCTAGGTTGACAGAAAAATGCTTCTGGCAACCTAGCTGCTGTCACTTCAGCAGACTGAGTTCCTACAGTGAAACCAAAATCCTTCTCTGTTCTGCATGTACATTATGAGTTTACAGCAGAATAACTTTGGCACCAAAGCCACACTGATACAGTGTGCATACCACATGGTTTTTTTACTCTTTGTTATAACCACAAAGGGCAACATTTTTCTGCAGAACTCTATTAGCACCCCAAATGAAATATACATCAGTTACTAGATGTTAGAACTGTATTCCCTAATTCTGTCCTGACTTGCTTTCATACTGACAGCTTGAAGTTAAAACTTCTTATCCCATTCCCATCCAGACCTTTCTATCAATACTAGTAATTCCAGAAATACCTCTTTCTGTTTTGGGGGTCTCATCCCAGCGATTTTTACGTGCACTGGAAGTTGCGCCTCCATGGCCTGGAGTTGCATGACCAGGTGTGTCGCGTCCAGGGGTTGCAGCTCCTGCTGGTGTATGACTGGGAGTAGGATCCCATATTTTTGAGCCTGGGGTTGCTCCAGGAGTCTCACTACCCTTTGCCCGACCAGGAGTTTCGTCCCACCTCAAAGAAGGAGTATGTCCAGGGGTCTAACCAAGACAAAAGCACAAGCTGTTAAAACTCTGCAGGTACCTGTGATTTTACCTTATAAAAGAAAAGGCTGGTGCTTAATTTGTTTAATAAATAAAGTTACAGCCTGTGAGATATCTGTAGAAGTCAAGAGGTTCTAGGGAACTCAAGTCTTGCTTGAAATATCTTCTAAAATTACAGTGAACCAATAAAGGGATGATTACCTCTGCTTGATCCCAACTAGATAGTTTTTTAGGTGTTGCACCAGGAGTCTGGTCAGCTGTTTGATCCCAACGCCGTTTGCGTTTTGAAGGTGGTTGGGAAGAGGCACCATTGACGACTTTAAGTTCTCCAGCTTTAGCTTTTTCTGCTAGTTGTTGCCTAATTTCCCTCTGTTTAAAAAAAACAGAATTTATTCCTTAAAAGGGTACTATTAAGTTAAAAACAGTTCTCAAAACATATTTCTTCAGGGTAATATAAGTTACTAAAACAGAAATGCTAAAGTCAAATTTACTTTCATGCTGTTTTCTTTTCCATCTTTCTCAGTTCAGACAATGAAATTTGATTGCTTATAATCAATCTCTAGTTAATTTTACTTTCATGTTCCCCTACATTAGCATAAAGCTGCAATGTCTGTTAACATTCTGCAATAGAATATTTATTTTAAATAAGTTTTCAGAGGATTGTTATTCAAGTTTTCAGAGAAACATCTATATTGGCATTAGATTTTTCAAAACCAGGCCAAATATGACTTAATGCCATCTCTCTAAAATATTCTAGATGGAAAATACATCAAAATTTTATTTTAAAAGTGATTAACTACAGAATACTTTAACATGTGATCACTAAGACAATGAATATTTAAAAAAAAATTAACACACATTTGCCTCAAACAAACTTCTTTACCCAAGCACATAGAAAAGTTTTAATTTGAAAAATATTTTAAATTAATTGTATCACAGCATGTAATATTTGAAACTATTCATTAAGGTTTGAGTTAGCTATATGTTTGGTCTTAATTGTTAAGAAGATTGCTTTGGACTAGTGGAACATAGAGTTCGTTTGGAACCTGTGACTGCCATACACCTCCAATTAGAAAAGCAAGATACTCTTCTGATGGTATGCCATTCTTTATTTTCTTTACGAAGAAAGGTTTAAAGATTTAGTTGGAAGCCTATACTGAGGCAAGTTTAAAATATGTATTTGGTCTCAAAACCATTTGCAACACAGTAAGGGACCACAGAATTTAAGAAAAGATAACAATTAAAAAGAAAGTGTAAAATGTATCTGAAAAACATTGCCCTTCAAAACTATCTAAATCTTTCATTCAAAGTGACAAAGCTGACACAGATGCTTTGAGCAGCAGTCAATGTCTTCTGGTAGTCTTAACTTTATTATTTAACCCTTTGGATGTCCCAGTGCTTTTACGAAATTTTACTTTTAAACTATGTAATAAATGTTAAATATAAAATAAAAAGCAGGAACTAAAAGGGTGGCCAGAACAGGATAGTGGGCAAAGATTAGGGATGTGAAAGATTAACCGGTAAGCATCACCTTTAATGGATGTCCCGAGCAGCTCCTGTCCATGATGGCCTAGGCACATCGCTGGTAAGGGCTGCTCTGGGCATCTGGACCTCCCCTTGTCTGTGGCGGGTTGGGGGAGATGGGGGGGGGCTCTCCAGCTGCAGGGAGGGCCCTGCAGGCTAGCTAAACTAGAGCACACAACCCTGAATTGGTTGAATTGGTTGACTGGTTATAGGTTAACCAATTAAAATGGGACTTTACATCCTTAGCAGAGATTCTTGATCTCTTTTGCAGCAATAAAGCAACAACTAAAAAAAACTGCAATAACAAAATAAATAATGAAATGAAAATGCATCTCCAAGAGTAGGCATAAGAGAAGAGAGCATATGAACACTGAACATTAATGAGACTCTCATCAACCAGTGACCTGTACAGGTGTACATGAAGGCTCTGAACACCGAGTTCCATTTCATATAAATATTAAATTAATATATTAATATGCAATTAAGTTAATAGAGCTAAAATATTATAGCAAATAAGTGAAAGTTAAATTATGAAAAAAAAAGGCTTCTTACCTCCTAACTGTTGTTCTTCTAGACGTATTGCTCATGTTCGTTCCAATTAAGTATGTATGTGCCGTGTGCACGGATTCCGGGGCTTTTTCCCTTAGCAATAGCCCTTGGGCGAGCCAGGCAGCCCCTGAAGTGGTGCTGGCATATTAGTGCATATATACCCCTGCTGGCCCCTCACCCCCTCAGTTCCTTCTTGCCGGAGTCCTCCAACGAAAGGGAGGCAGGTGGGATTTGGAATGGACATGAGCAACACATCTCGAAGAACAACAGTTGCGAGGTAAGTAACCATTTTTCTTCTTCAAGTGCTTGCTCATGTCCATTCCAATTAGGCAACTCCCTAGCAGTGTCCTGGGAGGTGGGGTCGGAGACTAACACTATCTACATGTTAACCAACTGCAGCACAGCCCTGCCAACAGTAGCATCTGTCCTGACCTGCCGCGTAATCACATAGTGCTCCGAGAAAATATGCACAGAGGCCCACATGGCCGCCCTATATGTCAAGGATAGGTACTTGTGCTAGGAACGGCGTGGATGTCAACTGCGCCTTTGTAGAGTGTGCCAGCAGCGGAGGCGCCAGTCTACTCGCGCTGTCATAGCACTCCTTAATGCGGAAAGTAATCCAGGAGGATAGGCACTGGGCCGAAACTGGTAAGCCCTTCATCCTCTCAGCTATTGAAATAAAAAGTTGTGGAGATTTATGAAACTCTTTTGTCCTTTCTATACAGAACACAAGGGCACTTCTAACATCCAAGATAGGTAGCACCTGTTCCCTAGCTGAGGCATGAGATTTTGGGAAGAACACCGGTAAGTAAATGTCTTGGGACATATGAAACTGAGAGACTACGTTGGGGAGGAAGGCCGGATGGGGACACATTCTAACCTTGTCCTTAAAGAAAAACATGTACAGGGGCTCTGAATGAAGGCCCTCAGTTCAGAGACCCTCCTAGCCGAGGTGACTACCATCAAGAATGCCACCTTCCACAACAAGTGTTTCAAAGAGCAGGTGGCCAAGGGCTCAAAGGGTGCCCTCATGAGACCCATCAGGACCAAGCTGGGATCCCAGTGTGATACCGGGGGACGCATATAGGGGAGCAACCTGTCCACCCTCTCATAAACCACTATACCATTGCATTAGCAAACACGGACCTGTGACCCTCCCCAGAGTGAAAGGCTGCAATCACAATCCTTTACTGAGGATGTAGTGAGGCCTTGATGTCTAAGCTGTAGCAAATAGTCTAAGATTAGTGGAATTGTGGCAAGCATTGGGTTTATCCCCCCTTTTGCTCTGGCCACAGGGCAAAACGCCTCCACTTGGCTTTGTACAGTGCTCTGGTAGGTTTTCTACTCTCTAGCAACACCATCTGCACTTCCTGCAAGCAGAGTTGTTCTAGGCCTGTCAACCATGCAGGTTCCATGCAGCTAGGTGGAGAGCCGCTAGGTTTGGGGTGGCATAGCCTCCCTCCTTCCAAATCCTGGGTGATTAGGTCTGGGACTAGCAGCAGCCTCACCGAGTCCTCCACCGCTAACTCTAGCAGGATGGTGAACCAGTGTTGGCGAGGCCACATCGGCACTAGCATGACGACCTGAGCCCCGAATCGCCTGACCCTGATGAGAGTCTCACGAATTAGCAGGAAGAGGGGAAAATGCATACGTCTATGTAGAGCCATGGTCACCAACCCATCAATCGCAATCGACTGGTCTATCCGGAGGGCCCAAACAGTTGATCGTGAGGAGTTTGGGGCGCCCCCATTTCCTCCCACCCCCAAGAAGCCCCACTACCTACCTCCAGCAATAATGGAGGTAGCGCTAGCTTCCCACGTGGATGAAAGTCCTGCACCTGTGTGCCACTTCTGGGGTTTCAGGAAGTGCGCTGGCTGCTCCCCCTCCGCCAAACAGCCAGTGCGATACCTGAAAGGCCAGGTCTGTGGTGTGCCAGGGACGTCCTTTCCCTATGGTGGGGTGGGAGTCCCTGGAGGAGGCATGCGCGGACGTCCCTCCACCATGGTGGGGAAGGGGGTAGGAGTCCCTGGAGGAGGCGCGTATGGATTTCCCTCCTCAGCGGTGGGGGAGTGGGGAAGGGAGAAGTCCCCAGAGGAGTTGCATGCGGACTTCTCTCCTCTGCGGGGGGAGGATAGTATTCTTGGGAGGCGGCGGCGCGTGCCGGGGACTCCCTGTTCCCTGCCCCAGCACCCACCGGCAGCCTGCCACCTGCCCCATCACCCTGTCCCCTACCCTCACCAACACCCTGTCCCCTGCCGCAGCACCCTATTCCCTGCCCTAGTACCCACTGGCATCTGCTTCAGCAACCATTGGCACCCTGTCCCCTGCCCCCCCTAGAACCCTGCCCCCATTGGCACCCTGTCTCTGTCCTTGCCCCAGCAGCCATCAGCACCCTGCCACAGTACCATGTCCCCTGCTCCCACCAGCACAGCTAGGACCACATCTTGGAGGAGTTTGTTTTGCATCTCACTTGTGGTTTTTTGCATCTCACTGATTGTTCTGTGGGTCAGTGACCCGACTCAAAACAGGTTTCCCGCCCTTCTCATAAATAAAGACAATGCTGAAACTTTTTGTGTTTGACATATTTTATTTAAAACTGAAGCCTGGTCAATAAACCCCCAATTGGAGCCAAGTCCCCATCTAGCCGCAGCATCATAACATTCCTGTACCGCCACTCCTCTCCCTCCCAAATCTGAGCCTATCATACACTGGAACCCCCATCCTGAGCCTCACATGCCCAAATTCCTGCACCCCCACATCCTCCGTCTTCTGCCACAACACTTCTGCACCATCCACACACTGCAAATCTGTGTCCTGAGACCATCATACTCCCAACCTCCCTGCCCTGAGCCCCTCACACATCCCAACCTAAATTCCTGCACTTTCACATCCACAAGCCTGTGGCTTGCTCAGCACCCCAACCCTCCACCTGACCCCAACACTCCCCAGCCTGGAGCCCCCTTCCCGAGCCCAGCATTCCCTTCTCCACCTCCTCTTGCATCCAAATTCCCTCCCAGAGCTTGCACCTCTCACCCCTTCCCACACCCAAATCCCTCATTCCCACCAAGAGCCCACACATCCTGTCTCGGCCCAGTGAGGGTATAGCTAGATGACAAGAGTTTTTCCGGGATACCAGAGGGACGCATTTGTTCTTCCGCTTTTTTTTAGCAGAAGAGCAAACATGCTCTTTCAGCAACCCTTGTATTCCTCGTTCCACAAGGGGGCTTCCGAAAGAAGGGGATTTTCTGACGTTTGGCCCAGTCTAGCCAGGCCAAATGTTCGAAAAGCGGCAATGG